TGTACTGTTTCAAGCTTTTTTCCAGTGTAATTTGTACTTGTTTTTAAGAAGACTGGGAAAGAAGGGTTGCAATGTTATGGTCTAACCATTAACTGGCCAAAGCTGACTGGATTTACATGTATTTGTAGTGTGCTGATGTTTGCAGAAGCCCAAACACTGCACTCACAACACATGAAGTGAGTGACCTGTTACCCTGAGGTCCAACACCTGCAGCAGCCTGGAAGTGGAAAGTGTTCTCCCAGCCACTTGTGCTGAGCCCTGGGGTCACTGGCTCTTCCTGGCCAACTTGTGCTCAGAAAGCACCAAGGAAAGTCTCTCCTGTCACCACTGGGAAGCACCTTTGCCTCACAGTTGCTCATGGTCCTTCCTGGGCAGTTGTGGCACTTGCTGCCTCTCTCCTTCTTGCCTCAGCTCTGTCCCCAGCTGCAAGAGCCAGCCCTGAGGTCTCCAGTTCAGGTGTGGGCTCCAGCTCTGCCCCTGAGGCCAATTAGTGCACTTCCACCAGGAGGCTGAAGCTGGAGAGAAGTTCCTGTGTTCCCAGTTTGCCCACTTGGTCCCATTCCCCACAGACTCTGATCTGTGAGGAGCAGGCTACAGGAGCTCCAGTGCCAATTACAAAAGCCCAGAGCACTTCATTTGCTCATCTGGCATGTTTGTGAACGTGTAAACAAGGCCCACAGTGGGCTGGGAAAAGTTCTGGGCTGGGAAAAGTTCTGTGCTGGGAAAAGTTAAAGGCAGCCACTTTATTCACAGCTGCTAGAATCATCCAGCATCCACTTGGAGTGAGAAGGCCCAAGTCTGCACAGACATACCACCTTTGAAATATCTGTGGACAGGATGCACACGTGAAACGGTTGAAGTAAAATAAAGAGAAAACAGTAAGTAATTTGCCAGTGCTTTGACAGGCTCTGGGAAATATTTGGGTGACAGGAAACATTTTGAAAACATCTATTTTTGCAACAAAAATTACACTGTTGAGATTCTAGGACTATTTGCAATCCTGGTTGTACGTCCTGCCCAAATTCTTGCTGTGCCTAAGCCCAAGCTAGCTATATCCCACAGTAGGCAGGAGCAGTTATTGCACCATTGCAAACCTCATATGTAACTTGTGTCATTCTGGAGCCTCTTGGTCCTTTGCTGAGACACCTCTGATTCATAACTTCCAAAGTTACTAACTTTTTACTAACCAATTTACAATTGATTACTAACCAATTTAACACAATTTATCTCGTTTTTCTCTCCTTGCTGCCCCTTTCCCATCCCTGATCTGTGGGTACAGACCAAGCTGAAACCAGAGACCTGGGCCTTGCCTCAGGCTTATTCTTCTCTGCCACAGATTTTTGGTTGCTTTATTTGACCTCCAAACTTTGTGTTGCAAAATAACAAAGACAATTTTTTGAATGCTGCTTCAGCTTAGTTTTGTGACAGATGATGCTGCCACAATCTCACATCTGTAGTTTTTCTATTGTTCTCCTTCTGTCCAATGCTTAAACTTCTCCTGCCTGTTCTCCCTGTGCAGGGAGCCAGTACCCAGGGATCAGACTGCAAAATACTGAACCACAGCTGCTGCTTCCTGCAGAACTGCTCCAGGATTGCACAGACACTCCAACACTGCTGTTAGCATAACTCATCCCTCCCACTGCTTCCAGAACTCTCCTTGCACTCTGGGAAGGGTGGATTTCTAAAGAGCTTTCATAGAACATATATATGTCCTCTGGAAAGGATCAACACAGCCCCACATTAAATTTAAATATTCAGCTCCAGCAGCAGCAGCAGGTTTGCACTGATGGATTTTAACTTTCCCTGGGTGCTGTGGGAGATCCAGAAACCATGTTGTGTTTACCTGTAACATTTTATCTGGAAGGCAGGGGAGCATTAATGAGACAATCTGGCTAACAAAAATACTCAATATCGTGTGTGTGAATGGAGGGGCCAATCAAGCCCTGGATATGTTGATAATTGGGATCAGGATTTGATGGAGAGATGAAAACTGGTTCTTCCTGGAGTTTGCCAGGGCTTTGCACAGTGTATCACACAGATGCAGCTGTCTGGACACAGTGTGGATGGTTTGTCTATGTAGACAGGAGTATGGTCTGTCATGGGGCTTTCCTGGTCTGAAAGCTCAAAGTTACATTTAGTCAGTGTCCAGATCCAGCCCATGCTTGGCCTGTCTGGGGCATGAGGTGGGAGAGTGTTTATTTTCTGTGCTAGGGAGAAAACAGTCCCAATCTATGGGGATTTTTTTCTGCAGTTTTCTGCAGTATTTCTCTCACTCCTTGTTCCTCCAGCTTTGTACAGCAGCCCTGTGGGAAAACTGTGAACTACAGGATTGTGAGCCCCAAATCAGAAATGACTGCTTATTCCTCAGCACTTTCAGTGTGGAGATGGATTGGATTTCTGTGGCACATCCGTCCCTGAACACCGTTACTTCTGTTTGCCTGGGATTTGATTCTGTGGCTGTTTTCCCAGGCTCCTTGTCTTTTCCATGTGAAAACCCACAGCCTGATACAAGATCAAATCAAAAAAATCTTTGGCCACCTACAACTCTCGTCTCCAGCTCTGTACAGTGAGATGCAGCTTTAGCAGAGACAAGTGCAGTCAGCACTGAAGATGTAAATTTGACTTTATTTCCATTGTATCCATTTTTCCTCATCCCCATACCTGGGAAAAGCAGGACAGAGGCTGTTGGGAAAAGGGCGGATCAGCTGCAGAGAGGGAAATACTGGACACCAACAGAGTCCCCCAGGTGGGGCTGGTACTAATTGTGGCCATGCTGGAGGAAGGACAGGCCTCACCTGATGCCCAGGTGCCCACGTGGGCAGTGTGGCATGTGCCCAGTGGCACAGGATGCCCCTATGCAGCAACACCCCAGGGTCCACACCTGTGGCCCAGGAGCACAGAAAGGAGCTCTGGAGCATGTTGAGCCCAAAGCCCTGCCTTGGCAAAAGGGCTCCTGACATTATTTTATCATCCTTATAGTATAAAAATAATAAAAGAGCGTTTTCTATGTCTTAGTGAAATTGATAGTATTTCCGGTTGTTTCCACTGCCTTGTGCTCATTCCTGGGACACCTAAGGCTCCCTTCACTGCTCTCACCTGGAATTTCTGCCCATCAATAAAATCCACTGAGCTCCCAAGCCTGCAGAGTCCCAGCCCTCAGCCTCTCCTTACCTGTCAGGTTCTCAGATTTCCTACTCAGTCCATGCTGGACTCCAGCTCTGATCAGGCTATCTTGCACAGGGGAGCCTGGAACCGGTGCCTGTGCTCCGGTGTGGCCTTACCTGTGCCCCACAGAGGGGATGGGCTCTCCCTCACCTCTGGGCAACTGCTCTGGCTCCCACACCTGAGGATGCTCTCAGACCATGGAGGTGCACTGCTGACTCAGGGGTGGCTCATGGCCCGTCGGGACAGACAGCTGCTTCTCTGGTCTCTCACGTGAGCCTTGGCAAATGGAAACATCCCTGCCCAGATGCAGGGCACGGCGTTTTCCTCTGAAAACTCAATGAAATTCCCATTGGCCCATTTCTCCCTGAAGGGACCAGCCCAGGGAGGGACCATGGTAGAGCAGGTACACACCTGAGGAACTGAAGCTTATGGGTGTGCCCTGAGTGGGTAAACAAGAAGGAAAGAGGAAGAAACAAAAAGCAGCTCCAGCCCCCTGTGCTATGTCACCTCCCCCAGCGACTGGGAGGGACTGGACAGAAGCTGCATGGAAAGAGGGGAGAAAAGATGCTGGACTGACCCTGGGAAGGTAGAGGAAAGCTGTTTCCCCAGGTGTTTCTTTAATAGTTTTCTTGGGTTTCCTGCAGTATCTGAATCAGTAACTAAACGTTTGTGTTACAGCAATAAATCAAATTAAATTCCTCAAGCTGAGAGGGTTCTGCCTGTGGTGGCAGGGACTGAGGCCAGGCCTGGGCTGGGATCAGCACTGATTTCCCTCCGAAGCCTTTCCTTCCCTTCTTCCCAGACCAAGCCAGGTTGTTCCCTCCAGTGCTGACACAAACCTGATCAATTCTCCAAGAGTAGATCAACTTCAGGCCCAAAGTTCACATGTCCCTGTGAGACACCCTGGCCCAGCTCCACACCTGAGCTGTCTGCAGGTGCCTGGGCTGGACCTTGTGGCCCCAGGCAGTGCTTTTGCAGCAGCACCTGGGGTGGAACCTGCTGCACACCCAGCTGTGACCAGCCCTGTGCACAGACCCCACAGGTGGGGCAGGACCTGCAGCTTCTAGGAAAAAACAGGGATCTCAAACTGCCCTTCACACCTTACTGAGGTGCCACATTGTCGTGGTTTGAGACAAACTGGGAGACTGATTTATTGCTGTAACACACAGCCATCAGTAAGAAACGGCTTGGGCTGGGAGGGACCATAAAGCTCATCCAGCTCCATGTCCCTGCCATGAACAGAGATGTCACCCACTACACCAGGCTGCTCCAGGCCCATCCAGCTCAGCCAAGGAAACTGCCAGGGATGGGGGCAAGCACCGTTGGAAAAGCAAAAAATCACTGACTGGGTATTTACAAGGAAGAGAAATAGAATAAAAAACCCAAAACAAACCCACTTTGATAAGAGCCCTCAGAGTTACCTGTGACATTCCGTAAGACTTCCTTGGAGACCAAAAATCAGTTCTGACACTGTCTTCTGCATCAAACACCAAGTGTTTCAGTCTCAGGTCTCTGATAAAGTTTGCTGGACAGCTTTAGATTCGCACAATAAATCCTCTGGGGCAGTGGGCTGCTCAGTCTGAGCACCTGAGCTCAGGTACAGCCTCGGGACCATGTCAAGGTGACACTCAGCAGGAACCTGAATCATGGTGGCTGTGAGGTGATGTCACTCTGTGACAATCCTACTACTGGCAATGTTCAAAGGGACAAATATAACCATTGCAAGTGAATAGGAGAAAACACCAAAGCTTCAAAAATGGCAAGTGTGAGCCAGGCATAATCAGTTAATGAAATTCCCAAGGAATATTCAAAAAGGAAAGTGCAGCATGAAAGAAGAAAAGTGAAAAATAGTAAAGTTTAATAGTTACAAGAAAAACACACAGCTCTAAGCAAATCCTCCAAGAATCAATGAAACAACTGATAAAGCATCAATAAAATATCAACAGCACGGGGGACAGCAGCTCTCAGACCTGTGTGAAGACACACAGGATCCTGAGCAGATCCACTCGACACTGCTGAGGACAGGGACAGCAGTGATGTCCCGCAAATCCCTGGATCTGTACCTGGAACAGAACAACGACCATTTGATCCCAGAAAGGAGGGTCCCGCAAATCCCTGGATCTGTACCTGGAACAGAACAACGACCATTTGATCCCAGAAAGGAGGAGGCACCACAAACGCAGATGAGTTTAACCACGGCAGCTGTGGGCAGTGCTTTCCGCCACAGAGCATTGTCAGTCACTACCCAACAGCTCACAGAGTTCTGGGAGCACCTGGAGAGTCCCTGCCTTGGCTCTGTGAGGTGCCAGGGCACTGGTGAATCTCAGCTCAGTTTTCCTGCCCCAAGCACAGCACACCTTCCCCAGCCTGAGCATCTGGGACTGCCCAAAGGAAATTCCCTCAGTACAAGGCACTGTAACTAAAATGGCAGTACTTTAAGGAGCCTGTAGGGAGACAGCATAAACAGACTGAAACCCCATCCAGGAACACACCTCACAGGGCATCACAGAGAGAAACACGTATCAGCCTGCCAGGACTTGGCTCTGTACCTCCCAACTAAGTCCTCCTGCATCATTCCATCACATATCTGGGTAATTCAGTGGCCTTGTCCACCCCATTTCCCAAGGACATGGAATTGTCCTGGTGCTGTCAGGCCATGGTCACTGAGGGCTTCAAGTGGTCTCACATGAAGAGCTATTGGCAAAGATGCTCATTTCCCAGCCCAGCTGAAGGTGAGTATGGACAGGACTGTTCATCTTGCCCTGCTGATACCTTTCTTCCTGCTCTTTTTCCTTCTTTTCTCCCTAAGCACTGTGGGAAGAGCCAGCAGGGAGAACCCAAGGCTTCCCATCAGCAAAGTCAGGCCAATCCCATCTGGCACAACCAACCCATCCTTCAGCTGGCCCTTGACCAACTCACCTGTCCTGTTCACACTCAAACAAACTCAGGGGCCCAGTGAGCTGCATGGCCAGACTGTCAGCATGAGCACTGCTGGGGGAATTCTTCCTACAGCGCCCCAGCATCCGCTTGTTACCCCAGTAACCTGATCCCAGGAGGCACAACCTCATCCCAGGCAGCACAACATGCATGAGGCTTTCCTTTCCCACAGTCCCTGAAACACGGCACAGCTCTGTGTTTGGTGCCCCAAGAGAATGCCCACAGGTGCTGCCAGGTCAGCAAACCCAACCCTACCAGGGGTAACTCAGGTCACGTCTGCCTCCTGTGCCCTGAGCACACGGTGCACACGCTCCTCGGGGCTGTAGAACAGCTGCCCGCGGCGGAGCCGGGGCTCGTCCTGCTCGTACCAGCGCCGCTCATCGAACTCGGGGAAGAAAAAGGCAATTTCTCTGCTGGCTGAGGCAGGTGAATCTGTCAAAAGACAGGGAAAGACAATGAGAGATGCCAGTCTGCCACCATAAACACATGCTGGACTTCAAAGGCACCTGGCGAGGTGTGCTTGGGGTCTGCAGAAGGGAACAAATCATTCAGTTGAAGCCCCAGAAATAAAGCAAAGGCACACAAAGCACCATCATCCTGGCCTCCCCAAGAACCGCAGACCTACCTGAGCCATGGGTCGTGTTCCTGGTGTCTGTGAGGCCATAGGCACCTCGGATGGAGTCTGGGTCGCTGTGTCGGGCTCGGAACACTTTAGTGGGTCCCATCAGGGATCTCCAGAGAGGGACAGCATTCTCGTGGGCCAGGATGTAAGCCCACATGGGGCCACTGCGGCAAGGGCCCAGAAACAGCAGGAGAAATTATGAAGAGCTCGTTACAAACAGGTTATTCGTCCTTACAAACCCGCACAGCACAGCTGCCACGGGCTGTCGCGCCAGACCCTGGCCATGGGGAGAGGCACGGTCCTACCCCGGCACCGAGGCACGGCCTTGGCACTGGTGACCCACTCCAAATGATGCCCTCCACCACCCACCAGGTACCACTGCTGTCACAGCGGGCCGTGATCCCCACACTCCGCCCGGCTCCCTGCACACACGGCTCGCCCGCGCCCGGTACCTGGCCATGAACTCCACCAGCCGCTGGTAGAAGAAACGCCCTGCGGAGAGACACGGAGCGAGTCGGCACCGGCCCAGGGGCACCGGCCCGAGTA